TAAGTCCAAAGTCTCCTCTGAGACCAGAGACGAAGTCTTAGCTGTGCGCTTCACAGAATTCAAAAGAATCACCATACTTCAAATATAAAATGACACAAACATTCTCATTACAAAAAGGAGGACCCGAAAAATGACAAGGGATGGGCAAGAGATGCACCCCCAAAACCCAGCAGGGCAGACATTAAGTCTCCTATAACTAGATCTAGCAATGTGGGACACGTGGAGTAACATGAGCGCCAGTGAGTAGACAGTCCTGCCTCTGTGACCTTGCTGGCTCAGACCACGGCTGGCCGTTAGCTGCCTGCAGCTTCCTATGGCAGTTCTGTCTGCAGCATAGTTCCCAGCTTTGGTTTCACTCTCTGCTTTACAGATTGCCTTCTCAGGAGCTCCTCATAAGATCGCCAGCCCTGTTACACATGCTCTACCCTCCTGGGCCTTCTTTTGAAATGGACACAGAGGCTGCCATGTTGCTATAATTCTTGCTTTCTGCTGCATGCCTGCAACCCCCAGAACCTTGCAGACCATACTAAGGTCTGCTGTCAGCCTGACTGTTAACTGGGCCCCCTCAGACCTGCAGCTCCTCCGAGGATCTGGATGGCTAAAATCAGGGGGCACTGATCCTTAAGAGAGTGTGCAAGCAAGGTATCCTAGACTTCCCCTTTCAAATGAGTCTCCACCTTTATACCTTTGAGCTTTCGAAGTGTGAGACCACATCCCTGAGGCATCCTAAGGTCTGAGGAGTGACTGCCTCCTTCCTGGTGACACCCAATTCCTGTAACCACACCTTCCTGGTCCAGCTTCACAGAGATCATTTTCCTCCTCAAACTACATGCTTTTTTATTTTTTTCTTCTAATTCTCATTATAAACTCAATTAAAAGCAGCCATAACTGTCAATAGCATAATCTGGGACCCTCGTGAGCACAGTCGTCAGTGTTTGCACTGCTCTCAGGTCTCTGGCCCTCTGAGCTCCCACAGGGACTCACCAAGCCCTTCTTACAGCATCCTTTTGTCTAGCCTGCTTCTCTAAATGTCCCCAAGTTCTCCCTGCAGGCCAGTTTGAAATGCTCTTGACCCCGCAGGCATCTCCAGTCACCGCAGCAACCCCACATCTGGGCATCCATGTTCTGTGTTGATCAATTCTCTGTGGAGATCACTTCGTGTTGCTGTGACAAATATCAAAGGGAAACAGCTTCAAAGGAGGAGGGCTCAGAGACAGATCAGAGGTGAAGGCGCTTGCCACCAAGCTTGACGACTTGAGTTTGAGCCAAAAGCCCTCATGGTAAAAGACAGAGGGCAACTTCTGAAAGTTGTCCTCTGACCTCCACACATGTGTATGTGTTCATGTATACACACATAAAAATAAATAAATAAATAAATTTAAAAATAAAAGTTACTTGATGCAGTGATACATTTTTAAAATGTTCCTTGACCCCAAAGAGACTAAACTTTTGGCAGACCTCAGAGCAAAGTGAAAAATAACCTTCGGAGATCATTTAAGACTATGTACCCAATCTGCTACCCTATGATGTACTCCGCCTACTTAAATTAACTTGCCTTTAAGAGAACAGTGTAAGCAGCCTCATTTGCCTTGGATTTCCCATTTAATCAGATTTTACACCTTAAGCTAATGCACAGCTTTAATTTTAGTTTATGTATTCTTCCATGCCCCTGATTCAGTAATAACCCCTGTGTGTGTGGGAGGAAAGTGGGGGGGTAATCATTTGCTAAAAACAGCCAACAGGTTGTGTGATGGCTGAATTCTATATCAACGAGAACTGAAGCAGCAAGGCCCGACCATGAGGGATTACCTTCGTTATATCTTTGAAGGTAGAAAGACCCACCCTAAATCTGGGCCACATCTTTCTGTGGTAGCCAGCATAAAAGGACATGGAAGAAGGTAGCTTTCGTTTTCTGCCTGCTTGCCCTCATTCTCACCAGCAAGTTCATCTATTCTGTTGCTAAGACACTCCTTCCCTGGTGTTAGAACCTACTTCTTGGGGATTCCAATGTAGGCTGAAGAAAGCAGCTCTCTGGGAATCCCTAGGCTCTAGCACCAGGCTGGGTCTCCAAGACATAGTCTCACGGACTCGATACCTACTGGGTTCTTGGCCTTTCTGTGAGGACACCCTCAAGCCACCTTCATGAGTCCTCTTGTTAAATACATACATTCATTCTATCTGCTCTTCTCCATAAGAGAAACCTGACCAATACAATCCGAAACCAACCTTATGTGACAAACATCCCACACAAATGTTGGAAGCAACCCATGGATATCATCTGATAACAGGCTTGCTTTTTGATGTTTGCTTTTCTGGGTCAGTAAGATGACTTCCTTCCTGGTAAAATGCTGTTAAAGATTTCTGTAGAGAATCCTTCATCCCTTTCCCAGTGCGAGGCTCTATGCGCTGCTCAGTAAGTACAGAGCAAATACCTCAGGGACTGACACAAATCACAAGTGTCAGGCACAGACACACAAGAGCCAGATTACAGGCAGGCCGGCTACCACAAACTACAAGCACACAGAAGACATGAGAGAGAAGTGGAGAATTCAAATTTGGACTTTCCCTTTGACCCGACCCTCGGGTCCAGTTATTCGTGGGGGTCGAGGGAGACCTCACCTGAAAAGGAACATGGGCAAGAGAGAGAATGAGACCAAGCTAATGTCACTTTGTCAAGGTCTGCTTTAATGAGGAAACGGCTTACAAGATATACTCTAGGCAAAGGAGGAAGGGGGACAAAGAACAGGATGGGGACTCTATCAACTATCGATAGATAAGGTCAGTCATCCGGCGGAGCATTCTGCAGTTTTTCCTGGAATGTTCCGGGGCAACAGTTCTCTAAGAACAGGAAATTCTTTCTTAGCTGAAGGTCAGATTCTCCCAAAAGAGACAGTTTCTCATGAAGGCAATTCATTAAGCAACTTCTGTTAGCTGGGATGGTGGTCCAGGCTCCCCAACACCCTTGACTAAATTAAACCAGTATTCCTTGAGATCAATGTGTTTGGTGCCTCTGAGGTTATGTTTACTGTGTTAGCTGATGCATTTCAATTCTTTATTGGGGGAGAAAAACAAAGGGAAGACTTAAATTGGCTCACAGATTTAGAGGTTTCAATTTGTGGTTGCTCAGCCTCATGGTTTTTGGCCTCATGTCACTAAGGGTCTACCCAGAGGAGATAGGATAAATCCCCAGTGATCTGCTTCCTCCAGCTATACACCCTTCCACACACATTGTCTAATAGTCCAACTAACTATGAATTCATCCAGGGATTGATCCATTGATGAGGTTAGCACCTTACTGATCCAGTCACTTCTCAGAAAGCCTACCAGCTGGTCACCAAGCATCAGAGGACATTTTCAGATTTAAAACCACAATGCAGCAAAGTGGCTATGTCTTCCTTAAAGAACTTTTCCTAATGAACACCAAATTGAATATAACATATCCATTTTTGCTTGTTTGGGACAAAGAATTTTAGATTTAGGGAAGGCTATTCAGATTTGGCATGGAGACACTTGCCTATATTCCTTCCTGATCGATACTGCATTTCTATTCTGCTTTTGTCTACTGTCGTTTTTTGAGTAACGTATTTAAAATAAGAGTCAGAAAGCCCAGTATACTGGAATCATTAAACCTCTTGCTCGTTGCATCAAAAAAAAAAAGTCAGAAAGCAATGACAATTATGTAAAGTGGGAAGGAAGAGCAGGAAAGAAAGAAAGAAAGAAAGAAAGAAAGAAAGAAAGAAAGAAAGAAAGAAAGAAAGAAAAAAGAGAGGGAGGGAGGGAGGGAGGGAGGGAGGGAGGGAGGGAGGAAGGAAGGAAGGAAGGAAGGAAGGAAGGAAGGAAGGAAGGAAGGGTATTGCCCTTCGAGGCTTGTCATACAGGAGTGACGCTGCAGTGCCAGAGAGAGGGCTTGCAGCCAGCTAGCCTTCGCCTGTGACACTGACAGCTCCCGGTAACCAGTACTTGGCACGTAGCAGAACACATGTAACTGTTTTACAGACACGATCTCGTGTAACTCAAAATGGAGGTACAGGGAAGATCGAAGTAGCCTAAACAGACATGATCTCTCGTAACTCACAACGGAGGTACAGAGAAGATAGTAATAGCCCAATATGTGAAGAAATTAGGCTCCAGGAGGTTAAATAACTTGTCTGAAAAGAAAAGGTGGCTGGGTTATATAGTTGGTTGGCAGAACATGCGCAAGGCCACAGGTTGTGTCTTCAGCACTACCCTACAAAAGTGAATAGGACGTACACGTAAGTGCCTTCCGTGGCATCTAATGACAACACCGCCAGAATTAAGTCTAAGTTGTTCTTACCACCACCACTACAACCACCACCAAGTTGTTTCACCTCGGCCTGCTAAAGTGAAAAACGACCTCCTGCTACCTCAATCCTTAGCCCACCCTAAGGGATGGCTGGATTTAGCAACGTCCATCACCCTCTTGCTGCCAGACTCCTTGAATGGAGGTACATCCAGGGCTTTGCGTGTTATTTTAAGACAGATAACAAAAGAATACATTCCCTGGCAAGTTAGGTCAGTGAGAAGCCATTCTGCTAGGTCTGCGCAGTGATTAAGGCGATAATGAATTCAAGGTCTGTAGTTCTGAGAAACCTGGAAGAAAAACCCTATGTGGTTTAACTGGTCCCCAAATGAAGATATCGTACTCTGCCCCACTTGTAGACTGGGGCTGGGAAATCTCTGGGCAAGCCCGGGGCTCCTGACTCTACTGTGGGCCCAGGGGAGGGAGAGTAGCTTTGCTACTAGACTCACGTACCTCCCGCACCAGTCACTATAGAACGCACAGCAGCTAGGCATTTATCAGGCGCGTTGCAAGGTAAACACTGTACGCCCACTGCACTCGGTGCTCATCCCCCGACACCTCCCGCACTCACGCTCGCGCTCGTGCACACGCGCGCATCCCGTGCACACGCTCGGATCCTCGCCTGGTGGCACCCGGCTCGCCCGCGCAACGCAGAGCAGAGCGGAGGGCGGGGAGGGCGCGGCCGCGAGAGGGCGCGGCGAGCGGCTGGCGTGCGGGCCCGGGTCGTCGCCGAGGCCCGGTAAGAGGCTCTCGGAGGGTCCCAGGGCCGAGGGAGCGCGGAGGGCACGCGCGCCATGAACCCGAAGGCGGGCGGTGAGGAAGAGGACTGCGTGGACTCTGGCGCCGAGACCGGAGGGTGAGCCGAGCCGGGCCGGGCCGGGCGGGGCGGGAGCTCAGTACTTGCGCTCCGGAGCCGGAGCCACCGAGGCAGTCCTGGGGTTGGGGTTCAGTATCTGCGTGCCAGCAGCATGGACTATGGTTGCCTGGGGCAGGGTGGGGAGGGGCGGGAAGAACCTCACCCAGGGCTGGGAGGTAATAGGACCCGAGGTTCAGCATCATTCCTCGCAGCCCTGTGACCCCGCGGTGCCAGGTTCAGCCGGCTCCAGCTAGAGGTGCGTCTGCACTTGTTCCCACCAGTGGGGCAATTCTGATAGCTCTGGAGCCCCAGGCTGGTGAGAAGGAAAGCAGGTGGAGAGGGTGGGACGCCGGGCACACGAAAAGACTCCGAAGCCAACTAGGAGGACTGCATATCTCACTTACACAGTGCTTCTGGGCGGCCTCACCACCCTGCCAGCCTGGGGTACCCACAGGATGCTGTGATGGGGTCTTGTGTGCTTCCAAGGACTCAGTAATTAGCTCAAAGCTTTGGAGGCTAATTAGTCCTCTCCCAACAGCAGTTTTCCTGAGTAGGACAAAAGACCGAATGCATTTTCAGAAACGAATGTCCCGTAATGGTCTCCACCCAGCCGTATCTAGAGGATTTTCCTGTGCACCGTCAGCACCACATCCAGGATGCAAGTGCTACCCCAGTAGGAAAGTGTGTCTTTTCCTATCTAGAGAAGTCCTTCTAGAGGTCAGGGGCTACCCAGACTACAGAAGACCTTGGAATTCCTGGAAGGTGGAGAGGTTTCAAGCTAATTTTAGGATTTGGCAATTTACTGAGAACAGGGAGAGAGGCCAGTTCCAGAATGGACCTATGTTCTGACCTAACCCACGAAAGCGTCCTCCAAGTTCTTCCTGCCTCCCAACCCCACCCTTCCTTGCAGCCTTCTCCACCAGCCCTAACCTAAATCTGGACCTTCCCTACAGGGTTTTCTCTTTCTCTTGTTATCCATCCATGGTAGCTGTGATAGAGGAGTTGCTTGATTTGAAGCCCCCACCCCTGCCCACCATTGCTTTTGCTTCAGTTCTGTTGGTGTGACAGTTGTCAACTTAGTTTATTCCCTGATTTTTTTGGTGCTGGGGTTCCAACCTAAGGCCTCACGCACGATAGACAAGGATTCTTTCACTAACTCACACCACCATTATTTATCAACTTTAGTTGACCATCTTTGGCTCTCCTCCCCTCCCCCAGGGTTAGCTGATCCAGGAATAGAAGAAACAAAGCACATATTGCCAGCTCTGTTATAGCTGGCATGAAGCAGTTGCTGTCCCACTAATTTTCAACTTGAAGGACTCGCCTAAAGCAGATGTTTGCCCAAGGGCCCTGCCTTGGAGAAAAGGAAGTAGTGCTGTCTTTGAGTGGTGTCTTCACCCCAAGAGCCAGGCTAGTAAGAGAGCTACCAGGGAAGAGCTACCTACTTAGGATGAGGTGCTTAATAGGGAGACACCCACGCTTCTATTTTCTGCTTGTCATTAAAGAGTATTGCTGTAACAGGACAGAATTGTTTAAAACTCTTATTGCACCACTAGACAACTTAAATTAAAATGTAAGATGATATTATTTTGTACAGAAGTTTCCATTTGTGACCATGAACTTTGTATTTGCTATTGACCTCTGTGTATTTTGAATTTTGGTTAAGCTATCAAAAGTGGTATTAATAGTTGGCTCATTTTTCTGCTGTTTTCTCTTTCCCTTTATCCAAGCTGAATATAAAGCACACAAAGCTCACTCATTAAATGTTTGCTACTTGTTGTTGTTGTTGTTGTTGTTGTTGTTAACAGGGTCTCACGTAGTCCAGGTTGAACTTGAAATTACTAAGTAGCTGATGATAACCTAAAGTCCTGATCTTCCTGCCTCCCTTCCCAAATTCTGGGCTTACAGGAATGCACCCCATGCCAGGGTTCCCCCAGTAATGTCCCTCTCCCTTCCAAGTGTTTACAGCTCTTTTGTCTATCAATGGCAGGACTTGGACCTGGCCTTGGATTGTTACTTCCTCTTTGCTGGCCACTTCTCAGGTGTTTCTTTGCTCTCTGACCTGGCCATCCTGGCAGGTTTTCTGATGCCTTACTTTTGCCAAACTGCCCTTTGTGCCAGCTCTGCCCTTTCTGCCTGGCATGCCTATTTATCAAGTGACATTCTACTCCCTCTCTCAAAACCCAGCTCAAGTGATATACCCACTAGGATGTGTGTCCTTAATCTGGGGTCCACAAATGGCTTCAAGGCATATACAAAATAATCAACTTGGTAAAGCTTTATGAGAAAAAATTAATTGGATTCTTAAACTAGCACATGATCCTTTCTAAAGGGGAGGATGTAGGATGTATCAACGTCAGCAGATGCAGTCTGAAGATGGCAGCCATCCACTGGAGTCTCAGTGTGGAGTTCAGTGTGGATGTCTAACATGACAGTCTCTTTGGAACTGCCCTTGAAGTCCTGGGAGGGATGAACTCAACTGAAGGTCACAGCGAACATTTACCTAACACCCACAGTACGCTGTCTTTCTAGCCTCTGCATGCTCTGGTGGCTCTCTGAGTCCTTAGCCAGCTCAGCTTTGAGAAGCCATAGCATTGAAATGTCAAGCAAAGGCAAGGAAACTGATGACAGAGCCCAAGAGGAAGAAGGAACAGGCTGTCCTGGAACCAAGAGAGAGTTACAAAGGTCAATAATGACCAACTGAGAATCTCATTAAGATAAGGACTGTGAAGTGCCATTTTACTAATGCAGATACTGAAGTGAGGCCTTGGGAGTGGAGTGGTGGTGAGAAGCCAGATGACCGCAGCGCCAGATAAGAGAGAGAGAGAGAGAGAGAGAGAGAGAGAGAGAGAGAGAGAGAGA